GGTAGGGCCACACTGCATCTCACCAGCTCCACGGTGAGTCTGGAGTGTGCGAACAGGTTAGTCGTAAACGGAGACCAGTTCTCGGCCCCAGCCTGTGGGGCTCCTAGGAGGAGGGTGGACAGGGGAGTTGTTGTTCCGTAAGGTAGGGCCATGCTGCATCTCACCAGCTCCACAGTTGGATCACCATAGGGCAATCCAACAAGCAGTGCTCCAGGGTGGCTCTTTTGTTAGGCAGCGTGTAGGAGCAGTAGGAGCACAGTGGGGACAACACTCCTTTTTCCTCCAGGTCTGATTGGGATGTAATCCAGTCCAGAGTGGGTAGGCACCTACGTATTATTTGCCACTGAAGAGCTCTGTGACTGGTCGGCCGGATGTGAGAGAATGCGGACCAGCGTAAGTTCCTGAAGTCCTGTTGCCCCAGCGGGGAGTCTCTCTTCCAGCGCTTAGCGATTTGATCCTCAGTCCTAATCGGTTTACGCGCTGCCCTATAGCCCTTCTTCACAGTGTATTGCCACAGGGCCATTGTCCGAGACTCTTCCCATGTCCATTCCCATTCCGACGAACGCCTTGAGATATCATCATTGAAAAAGACTGGCCGGGCCCAGGGAATTCAGAATTATGCTGTTCTGGTCTTGTGATTGTATGTGGTTTGGAACGCGGGAACGGACTGTATTTCGACAGTTCGTGGGTGTGTACCAACTGAGCTAGGCTCATCAGTAGGTGGTGGTGGTGATACCCTGCTTCTTTTTTTTTTTTTTTTTTTGTAACCAGGGTTTGCTAGGGGTGCTGGTAAGAGCAGACACCCCTAGCATCACCTGTTGGCTCCAGTCTATTGGGGGGAGCGACACCTGCTTATGACAGAGTGGGGTGGGAATTTCTGCAGGCCACCCTATCTGCTTTTGGGTTTGCACTGAGATTCAATCATGCGGTTGAAGCTTTGCGTCCGCAGTCAACATGGGTGCTCTATGTCAATGGCCACATGTCTGGTCCTGTTCATCTGCACAGACCACACTGCTCGGTTCGACAGGGTTGCCCTGGAGGTACCCTGCGTTTTTTTTTTTTTTTTTTCAAGAAAAGGAGTCGACGGCTTTGAGGTATCATCCTTGAAAAAGACTGGCCGGTCCCAGGTAATTCAGAATTATGTTGTTGTGGTCGTCTGATTGTATCTGGATTCAAACGCGGGTCTGTATTTCAACAGTTCGTGGGTGTGTACCAACTGAGCTAGGCTCATTGGTAAGTGGTGGTGGTGGTACGCTGCTTAAAGAACCGGTACACGACACATTGGCCCGCAGGTGTCAGCATGAAACCCGCACCGCTTCCGACGCCGCAAATTTTTTTCTTTTTTCCAACGGCGCCCCTAGCCGCGTGGCACCTCCGAGTTTGGCTTGTGGCAACCAAAAAACTTTCTGCAAGGCTGGGGCCGTGTACACGTTCTGATGAGAGAAAAGTGCACTCAAATCCCCAGTTTTACTGTGCCATCAGGGGAGGTCCTTACGTCTGAGGCTTTCTTTTGCTGACGATGCAGTGGCCGTGACGTAGATTTTGGTCGATGCATTTCCGCAGAGCTTTCAGGTGTTGCAGCAGTCTAGCTCACCATTTCTCTTTCTTCTCAGATTTTGCTGATCGCCGTGACGCCTCAGTGAACTGGGCTAACGCCATGACGATGCAGTTCTTGTTCGAGGGTTCTTACAATCTGGACTCTTTTTGGAGGCCCCAGTATTTCGATTCCTCATGGCGTTGACCCACCATAACATCGGCCCCTCCAAATTTGGCGTTGACGCGCCATTTCGATTCGTCATGGCGTTGACCCTCCAAGCCTCCAACAAGAACTGTGGTTGGCAGACCACATTTCCTTTGTCCTGCGTCCGATGTCAGATCCAAAATGCGCACTGGCAACTCTCAAAAATACCCTCAGGCCTTGGACCCGTTACAAAGGGGTTAGTTTGTACGTTGGAGGCCTGGTAATCAATCAATTACTTGGGGGTCTTTCAACTCTCTGGCATCAGAGGCCTTCAACTTCAACTTGACCTGCCGGCGCAGCAAACTGCCGGAAGCCTTCGATGTTCTAACTCACACTATGTATGGAAGAAAGATGCGATTCTGATGCGCCCTGCCATCCAAAGGTGGCTTGGGAAGCAAATACACAGCCAAAGAGATTAGGCGGGCGGCCTTTTCGATACTTGACCCTGGCCGCGAGGTTGGGGCCCTGTCCTCTCGCTGGGTTGCATCGGCTATCTTGGATGGACCATTCTGTCCCTGGCTTACGCTTTGCTTTCCGGCTGGGAATGGAGATTCCCAGCAGGAAAGCAACAATGGAGATTCCCAGCCGCCGGCAACGGAGACTCCCAGCAGGAAAGCAACAATGGAGATTCCCAGCCGCCGGCAACGGAGATTCCCAGCAGGAAAGCAACAACGGAGATTCCCAGCCGCCGGCAAGTTGAATGGAGATTCCCAGCAGGAAAGCAACAATGGAGATTCCCGGCCGCGAGCAACGGAGACTCCCAGCAGTCAAAGGAGATTCCCAGCAGGAAAGCAACATGGATTGCTGTGTTTGAAGTTTCACCGGGTCCTATGTGAGAAAAAAAACTGCCTATGGCTTATATGGGGGATATGGGGCAGGTGGTATTCTGCAAGCCCGGAAGGACTCCTGCCCTCTACTCCACTCACCTCCTTTGATAACAGAAAGGTTGCTGACTCAACCCTTGTTTGAAAATCCGGCAATTTTTTTAACGGAAGATGGAATACCTTTCCCAGGTTTTAGGGTGGGTGCTTTTGAGAATTCGTGGGGGTCCACGTGGGTTCAGGACGATGGCTGACATCTGGGACATATACGACTTCGGATTGGAAAACACATACGACTTGGGATTGGAATATCAGATATCTTTTGCGGCTTTGCCCAAACTCAGTGGATTATGGAATCAGTTGCCTCACTTGCTTTACCATCATCGGTGTGCGATTCCTCAGCACAGGAGGTTGGTATAGGGATTCACAACCTATGCTTTCATCGTATGTGCGGAAAGTGAAGGAAGATGATACGGGTCCTACGGGTCCTGCAGCACCTCGAACGACATGTTGGGGAGCGCATGATCGACTGTTGTAGGCCCTAATATGCCTTTGACATCCCTTCTTATAATGCAATTTGGCTGTGGATCCCAGGGACTGGGCGTGGAACAGTTCGAAAGGCCCGCAGAAGTTGCAATGGTGCCTTTGTTGAAACTTGAATATAATTGTGTTAGACTGGGTTATCAGACATCTCAGATTCTCGGCCGAACAGGGCTGTGGGCTGAATTGTGGCCAGACGATGGCTGGACACGGGGTTGATAGAAGATGCTTTGAGAAGGTTACTAGCTTCAGCCCTGCCATATTCTCGGCGATTGCTGCTGGACTTATGGACTTAGCGGTATTAAAAGATGCATGCGGGGGTTCTGCAGCTGCTGACAATGCACGTGGTCGTCCCGATTGCGTTATGGCATACTAGCTTCAGCCCTGCCATATTCTCGGCGATTGCTGCTGGACTTATGGACTTAGCGGTATTAAAACATGCATGCGGGGGTTCTGCAGCTGCTGACAATGCACGTGGTCGTCCCGATTGCGTTATGGCATGTACACCGGCCGGATTTCAACAGCCTCTCCTGTATGTGCCATTTGTGCGGGGACAAGAATTGAGGACGTGCAGCATATGTGTGTCCACTGTGACCTATCTCAACCACTTAGGAGCTGATGGAAGCAGCCATCTACTTTTGTGCCGCACGCTGGCTCTCGATGAACAGATGATTTTCGTTCTTCTCGGAGTGGCATCGTGGAGATCGACTGCAAAGTTCAAACCAAGCACAGATTTCTTTTTCGCTCGTGGTTTTATGATTCAAGTGATATTGAAAATGGTGATCCTGTCAGTGAGCAGTGGAGATTAATTGGGTATTGTTCCTCCATCAATTGTTGTTGCCAATGACAGAAATACAGTGACGATCCAACAGTATTCGGCTGGCAGCTTTTGAATGAGCCTCGTTGCAACAGCGACAAGACAGGAGCTAGTTTAATCTCATGGACAAGTGAAATGGCCGCCTTTGTGAAAAGCCTAGACAGGTAAGACTCTCTCTCTCTCTCTCTCTCTCTCTCTCTTTGAATGAGAAAAATGAATGATTTCAGTGTGCCCTTCATGTTTGTCTTGTTTTTTAATTTGTTAGTTTTGCCTTTTGTTTCGCAAAGTGCGCTCTTTTAGTTCATAGTTATGTGACAATATATATATATATATATATATATATATATATATATATATATATATATATATATATATATCAACACCTCTTCTCCCTCTCTGCCTACAAGCAGCCTGGTAAACCGCAGGCAGAGAGGGAGAAAAGGACAACAAACGAGGGGCTGTGACAAACTGTTTCGTTGGCGTTTCACCGACTTCAACGTAACACTTCGTTGATGGGTAAGGTGTTTATATACATATACGATACATATACATATATATCATATATGTATATATATATTATAATATATATTAAACTCCGACGAAACAGTTTGTCACAGCCCCTCGTTTGTTGTCCTCTTTGTCACAGCCCCTCGTTTGTTGTCCTCTTCTCTCTCTCTGCCTACGGTTTACCGGGCAGTTCTGTTTGTGACGATATATATATATCGTCAAGCCGTGTTCTCCTCATCGGGGGACAGTTGTATGTATTCATTACAGTATTTAGTATTTTCTTCTCTCGATATTTTTTCCACGTCACACCAGCCACCTACATACCTCGCATTATCTACCCACATGTCTAGCATGTCACGAACAGGCATGGCGGAACTACGTAGTCATGTACAAACGTAGGACAGTTATGTCTATCTGCTCTACTCTGTGCACGGAGTAGTACTTGGGCTCCTAACCCCTATACCTTGTGAGGGATGGCAAGACCCCGGAGTCCTGCCAAGGCCAGCCAGGGGGGGAAGCCAACTATCTCAGCTGGTGAAGCGAAAGTGCGCTGCAGGGCGCCGCAATGATCTATTCCACTTGCGATTTGGCATGCTATTTCCCAGTCCAGGTGCACTTCAAGCACCAGTACATGCCAGCTATAGGCCGCAGCCCCCTTTGGGAGGCCGACTGCCGCCGATTCATTTTATCTACGGCGCCCGGCCTCCTAGATTTTTGGAAAGCCTCAAAACAGGTTCTCCTGTTGCCTGGGGCCATGTCCTGGTGGTTTAAGGTAGTAGCATCGAGTACTACAACCAATCAAGCCATATGGTGGCACGTCAGGCAACTGAGTTATAGCCTTATGGGTCCATGCTCGCATCCTTTTTTTTTTTTTTTTTTTTTTGACCATTTCTTGATTTATGTCCGTCATTGTTGCGCAGGGGCCATGCTATTTACCCATCTCTGTATCGTTCCAATTTAAACCGATGTCCTGGATATCATGACCAGTATGGTTCCACTGAGAAACACCGTGTCCTGGCTGTAGTGGTTAAGAGACTTGGCTCCTGAGGCCCAGGTCGCTGGTTCGAATCCGTGCTTGCAGGGAGGAGGGCTGAGGCCCAGATGTATAGATCCATAAACTACTGTGAATGCGCCCATGGAACTTGCGGGCATGCTGTAAGTCCCGTTTGAGTGACCAGGTATAAGTACCAGTGGGGGGTTACGTGCTGATTGGTGCGAAGTGTGTGAGAATTGCCACATCTGTGTGGTGCGTCTGTGTGGTGCTGTGTGTTGAGTTGGACACTACAGCCTTGCAGGGGGTGGGGTGGACATCCCCATGACTGGTTGTGGTATGATTCCATATTGAACACTGCATCCTGGCTGTACTGGTTAAAAGACTTGGCTCCTGAGGCCGAAGTCGCCGGTTCGAATCCGTGCTTGCATGGCCAAGGGCTGAGGACTAGGTGTTCGGATCCATAAGCTAAGTGTTACTGAAGGACTGTGTGCACTCTGCATCCTTTTGTGATGTGTGACACTGTGAATTATAATTTTTTTGTGTTTTTTTTTTTTTTTTTACCCAAAACACACACCTGCCCCTTCACCAGCAAACATGAACCTATGTTGCGAATGAGAAGGGGGAGCAGCTCTGCCCTGGCACAAGACGCTTCGGGCAGTGAGCCATTCTTGCACCACAGAGGGTGGCAGCGAGACTTTCATCCGCTCGTTCCCCTCTAGCCGGGAGACGCTCCACGTACCCAGACGCTCAGGGGCGGTCCAGGCCATGATCGTCCCCTCCCTCCTCTGTGCTGCAACAATGTTCCTGCTGCTCAAAATCTGCCACTTCCGATGCAGTGGCCACATCTGTTCTCCACACTTGCCTCACTGAAATGTTTTACCCCTCCGAATCCAACCCCCTTTTAAGGTACATGGTGCTTCTCCATTCCCCAATCCCCAACTACTTGTTGTTAACCTCCTCTGCTACCCTCGTCCTAGCCGTTACCCTATGGCAGTTTAGTCTCCCAGTTCTATCCTGCCATCCTATCGAGTGTGCCGTTCATAGCTCTTTTTTTTTTTTTTTTTTGAAAAGCCCAAGGTGTTCATAGCTGTCAGTCGAGCAAGCAACGCATTATTCTTATCAGCCATTCAGTTCAAGTTGCATCTGAATCCCTGATCCAGGCAGACAGCAGCCCTTCTACCCCTGCTCCAGGGACTAACATCAGCGTTTTTTTGCAGCTATGTTTTCCCTCTACCCCTCACTCCTACACGGTAACTTTCCATATCACATCCAACCCTCTTTTTTTTTTTTTTTTTTTTTTTTTTTAAATCCAGCCCTCTTCCCTTCCCTACCAGCAAACTGTTTTTATCCAGCGGCCTATCTCAGTTGGTAAGGCACGCAAGTGGCATTCAGGAGGTTCTGGGTTCAATCCCCATTGGCCTCATGTACCTTCCTGGGCAAGCTTGGCGCCGGCCACCTAGAGATATGCCGTTGGTCCCCCCGAGTGGCATTGAGCAGAGACTGCTGATGTTCATAGGGGGAGGGGACCGGAGGGGAGGCACAGTGACTGGCCCATCGAAGAAGCTCGGTCCTGATGCTACCGGCTGACCCCTGGCCGGTATCGCCCACCTGCTGTAGCAGGTATCGCACCTGCTGCTGGGTGCAGCTCCTGCATGTTCCCTTGTTGGAGGCTTGAACACGGATGTGGCTGCTACGGGGTTCCCCGTAATACTATAATGACAATATCTGAAAGGCCGTCCTGTCCAGATTTGACAGTTAATTGAATTGGTTGGGCTTAAAGAATTAGCCTTTAAAAAAAAAAAAAAAAAAAAAAAAAGAAGCCGTTTTCGAACTTTTTCCTTAAAAAAAACAAAAACAAAAAAAAGAGGGGCGATGTCGCTCCTGAGATATGAATGATCGTAGAACTGACCGGCCGTAGGTAATTCGGAGTTATAGTACTTCACTCATCTGCTTCCAGTGGAATTTGAACTCTGCAACTGGTCTGTATTTCAACAGTTCACGGGTGTTCCAACTGAGCTGCTGGGCCAGTTGGTAGCTGTGGCGGACCCACCAGGTGTGGTGCTCTGCCTGGGATAGAGATGGAGATGGAGGAAGAAGGGGGGGAAGCGAGATGGCACAGCGCAGCTCCCACACTAGACTCCAACGCACGTACTTCAAACTGTGCGAGGGTAGAATGATCCGGAAAACAGACAACAGCTGGGGTATACTCCAGCGGACTGACTGGACTGGACTGGACTGGACTGGCACGATACACAGAAGATTAGCATCGCCCCTGCGCATCGCCCCTGCGCAAAGATGACATGCACTTCTAGCCCGGCTCCAGGGCCTAACTTAGCCCGTGTTTTTTCGAGTTATGTTTTACACACCCCTCGCACCTAAATGGTACTAGCCGGCCCTCACCACCTCCCCTACAACCAACCCTTTTCCTACCCTCGACTACCGTCCTGGCCACCTAGCCAGCATGTGTCTCGTCTGTCTCAGCGCTTGCATTCTAGCCTACACACTTCAATGTAGAACAGGGCCATTCCCTCATAATGCCACCATAGGAGCACTTAATATTCCTCTTCGGACTGTATGTCTAATATCAGTGGTTTTGGTTCTGCCGAGCAGGCCCCCAAACGCATATGGACCCCTCTTAAGCAGGTCGACTTCCACCAAGGCCAGGACCGGTCTCCATGCCGTATAAAGCAGAGATTTTTCGTGCGGCGGGGCATGGGAACTAGGACGCCTGCTTTGTAAATCAGCTGTGATAGCTTGTCTGATCGCCTCCTTCACTGCCGTCCTTATTGCCGGCGCTGCTGATTTCTCTCCGTTCCTTACCACTGCCCACCGCGTCTTCCAGATGCCTCAACAGGCAGCAGCTCCGACGATCTCGCGAGCGTACTGAGTTGCCCTCTCGTCCCACGAGAGGTCCAAGGAGTATTATCCCTGTGGTGTCAGCTGCTTCTGGGAGAGCGGGCCAGTCTGCTGCCTCTTGCTCCCCACCATTCCCAAAAGCAGTGTGCATTTTCGCATCGCATAACTAGTGGGGGATTGTCTCATCAGTCCAGCCGCAGACCCAGCACCTTGTGTCTTGATATTGTGGTTTTGTCGCCTGGCACGCTGCGGCGGCGACTGCCAAGTGAATTGTCATCCACAGAAGCCCCCATCACTTCGGGTTGGGCAGCATGTTGTTCAGCTGACAGCGTGTCAATTTGCTGTGGGATCCACATTCACAGTCTCTTCGGGTTGGGCAGCATTGTTGCAATAGTAAAAGGTCGCATTTTACGTTCTTACCGTGATGACAAAGTTACTATTTATAGAATGCATTCGAAAAAAAAGATGCGTCGAAAACAAGGCCATAGACAAAATATTACACGATTTATTGTAGATGGTATTTTTTTCAGTTTTAGTCTAATTCTATAGAATATAGAATAGAATATATCTATCATATAGAATACAGTATAATTATTGTATTCTATATGATAGATATATTCTATTCTATATTCTTTATTTGTTGCACCTTTCTGTTATTTGAATTTTAGTCTAATTCTATAGAATATAGAATAGAATCCACAGTCTCTTCGGGTTGGGCAGCATTGTTGCCGTGGACCATTGTTCCATCATTTGCTGATATCATGTGGGATCCACATCAACATCCACAGTCTCTTCACCCACCTACCCTTCATCTCATGGGTAATATCATGCGGGCTGAACCGGTTGCGTGTACAGTGATGTAGTTGTAGCCTGGAGAAGTGAGACCTGGTGTCGAAGCAGAAAGACAGGCCGAAAATCGTAGACGGTCAGATGAACCCCCAGGTCTCCCTGTTGTTGAGCAATCCTGTGTGGTCTATATGCAGCTTTTCCTTCTCTGAGCTCTCTCTCTCTCTCTCTGCACCGCTATTGGCGTAAACTGATTTTCCGAAGGCTTTATCCTTCTTGCGGGGCTTGTTAGCCGCTTCATGGCAGAGCCCAGCTCTTACCCTGCTGCCTATTGCCTGCCAGCACTCCAATCCCAATCCACCTGACCCTTCCCTCCTTGTCCGCCCTTCCATCCCTGGCAACCTTGCACTTGTCAGACTCTAGCTGCTCGCCCGTCTGCTGCTCGCCCAGTTCCACCCTTCCGCACTTCCCTATTCTCTCCTTCTGTCCTCTCTGTCCTCTCTGATCTCCCCCGCACCCATTCCTGAGGAATAGCTGTGACAATAGCATGCAATAGCTGTGACAATAACATGCAATAGCTGTGACAATAGCATGCAATAGCTGTGACAATAGCATGCAATAGCTGTGACAATAACATGCAATAGCTGTGGCAATAGCATGCAATCTGTCGCTCTTCACAACTATAGGTGTGACAGGTTCTGCAATAGTCTCTGCCGCTCCCTCAATTTCAATTCTTTCTTCATCCTATAGGTCACCACCGGCAGTGCTAACTCCGCTGTCAAGCCATGAACAGAATTCCCGCTAAGATAACAGATCCAGCGGTGGGTGCTTCTACATGAGCTTCAGGTAACCAAATATGAACTGGTACCATAGGTACTTTCACTGCAAAAGATGCAAAAAAAGCAATCCATAGCAATATTTGACGTCGTTCGCCAAATTCTGTTGTTAATAAGATTTGTTAATCAGTGGTTCCTGTTTGGCATTTCACTCTCTTTTTCATTACACTCCATCCTTCAGCCCTTTTGAAGTTTTGAGAAATGAAAAAAAAAGGAAACAAAAGATTTTGAGAAGTTTTTGAGTCTGTGGAGGCTATGGCACGAAAGGAGGGTTCGGTTATTGCATTCCCTCCCTTGACAGGCGCCTAGGACCGCAAGGGTAAGGCTGTGACAGTCCCATTTTCTGAAGCCGCTTTGTGCCCTTGAAAGTCATGCTTGCTGGTGATAAGCAACTGGACTGATGTCCCCCCCCCCCCCGAACAGAAGGGGCTTCGTGTTTGCACCGCACAACAACAACAAAAAAAAGAAAAAAAAGAAAAAAGAAAAAAAGTTTTGAGTCTCTTGACCTGCCTGTCAGTGAGCCATATTTAATATTTACTAAACTTTGTATATCTTGGCGGTTTTTTTTTCTTTTTTTTTTTTTTTTTTTTTTTTTTTTTTTTTTTCTTTTTTTTTTGTGGGGTGCTGACGACTCCTGACTGGTAGGTGTGGACCAGCCAATCGGTCGGCGGGTCGGCGGCCGACCAGTTAAGGGCCGCCCACCGTCGGGCGGTACAACCCTGCAATAGCATCAGTTGGGACTCTTGGTGGGGGAGAGAGAGATCTTGATGTTGGGGGAAAGGGTGGAAGAGAACAGGGGGCNGGTTATATGTGCACAGGAAACACATGGTATCCATTGGCAGCGAGGGTTTCTATGGCCCCTCTCTCCCGCAGCGCGTTTATGCCAACTCTGGACCTGGATGGCCTGCAGAGCAAGGAAATGACTTCGTTGCTGAACATCGCGTCGCAAATATTGATTTCGTCACTGTGCATTTATATGCGCAGCTCTGGTGAGTGATCAATAGTTTAATAAGGATTTAAAAAAAAAAAAAAAAACGTGCTCCGCTTTGAATTTTTTTTCTTCCTTCATCAAGAAGGAAAAAAAAAAAAAGAAGGATCTCAACCTGTCTCAACAACATGGCTTTCTGTTTGGAAAAGCAAGAACAACGACAAGGACAACGACAGCCACAACAACAACAACAAGAAAGAAAATGGCTTTCTGGATTTTTTTTTATTTTTTTTTTTTATTATTATTTTTTCTTTTTTTTTCTTTCTGGAAGTTTGCTCTCACTGACGTATTATTATGGATGGCAGAATTGCATCAACATATTCTGAGGGCATCGGACTGATACTCGAACCTTTTTTGCTTCAGCTCTGGACCAAATTGTGGTCAGATACATCCTTGGCCGGCTGCAAATCCAGTCAGATACGTCCAGCGTATTTGATGGTGTTTACGGGAAAGCCAAACGCCAAACGTCGACTTGGAAACCGATGAGCAAACGATTGGTGACTGGGGTTATAGAGTGGATGGATGGTGGGGGGGGCAGCGCGGGCCAGTGGGTATAATTGTGGATAGCCGAATTCCTTGTTCTCAACGCACAGAATGGCATGGCATGGCATGGCATGGCATGGCGTGCCCGGACTGGTGGCGCGATTCATCTTAAGGTTACTAATCCTCAAGGAAAAGGGAGAAGCAATATGGTACAGTGGTACCGTTCTCAGCTAACCGTTTCTCAACAAGGACAAGTGTATTTTTAAATTAAGGCTGGACCCTGTGGATGCGAAGTTCATGCTGTTCTAGCATGAATCTGGCCAAGATGGAAAGCCACATTCATGCATGCTGACCATGAACTTTGCACTACCGCGACCTTCCCCTTTAGCCTCCGTCAGTTGACTGTCATCCGTTGGAACAATGTGATCCAAGGATGAGAGTCATAACTGCCAGGAGAACATTAGTTTGAAAAAAAAAAAAAAAAAAAAAAAAAAAAAGGAAAAAAAAGCTGGGAGGAGAAGCCTCCCCCTGGTACTCTGTGCAGAGAATCATAAATGTGTTTCCAACTTTCCGTGTCCGTTCTCCTTGTGAGTTGCAACGTGTAAGACTTGCTGCTTTTCTGTAAATGCTAGCCTCCCAGATGGGGGTGGCTGGCTTATGCAGCTCAGAAACTACTCCCAGGCTATGAGGCATTTCTTCTTCGATCGGGATGATTGATTTGTTTAATGCCTATAACAATCAGATGTTGAGGACAGTCGATATGAAGAGGAGGCAATCGGGAAGGAGTGGAGTATCAGCAGGAGGAAAGGGGGAAAGCGAACTAGAGAACACAGGAGAATCATCTTATCCCGTATTTTTTATAATTATGACGTTTAATAAACTCCATCCAAACATCCAAATGTCATGGTAACAGTTCTCCAAGAGTTGCAGACTCTCTCTCTCTCTCTCTCTCTCTCTCTCTCTCTCTCTCTCTCTCTCTCTCTCTCTCTCTCTCTCTCTCTCTCTCTCTCTNTGTGTGTCACAGTGTGTGTGTGTGTGTCACAGTGTGTGTGTGTGTGTCACAGTGTGTGTGTGTGTGTGTGACAGTGTGTGTGTGTGTGTGTGTGTGTGTGTGTGTGTCACAGTGTGTGTGTGCATATATGTGTGAGCTTGTGCTCATGCCGTGATAATCAATAGTAGTTGACGTTTTGGATGGAATGAAGTCTGCTTTGAATACTTAAACCCGGAAGTCTCCACGTTCTTCAAATAGCGTAATGAAAAGAGAAAAAAATCCCACAAGAAATGTAAGATGAAAAAACATTCTACTGTTTTTATTTTTAGCCTTAAAAATTATTGTTCTGAAGAATCTAAACTCGAGAATCGAGAATATGCTTCCAAATTTTGTTTTTTTTTTGTTTGATTTGATTAGTCTCCATTGAGAAATGCTTTTTTTTTTTTTTTTTTAATGGAACGACTCCTTAAAGTCTGAAATTTTTTTCTGGTGTGGATTTGAATGCACGGTTGTTGCAGGATGGGTGAGACAGACGATGCGAAGTTTGTATTTGCGGATAAGTGGCTCAAAGCCCATCTACAAGATGGAAGGGGGGGTATCAAAAAGCCGATGTTGATCGAGGAGTTTGGATGGATGACAGACATTCCAAAGCGTGACCTGATGTTCCGCCAGGTTTTTGCCTACAGTCTCAATGCCACGAAAGCGGGCTATAGTGCCGGCACTCTGTTTTGGTCATTCGAGGACCATGATGGCACGTGGAACGTGAACTTCAACACACATGCTTCAACCTTAAAGATTGTAAAAGAGCACAGTGACAATCTTCGGAAGCTGTCAAGATAAATAAAGTAAAGCACTCCACTACAGATGCGTCGATTGATACCGGAATGCGAATTCGGTTTTCATTTCGTTATAATTAATCAAGGCGGGACGTGGACGGAATCGGAATCATGTCATCTCTTTCGATCACATGGGATCGAATTGGTAATCGTTAAGCCGCCTCCCCAAGCCTATCACCCTTACAGTCGTACAAATACTTTTTGGGGCGGCAAAGGGTAATCATGCTCCGTGGAAAAGAAAACGGGTCTTCATTGGGATCTCCTCCTTACGTTTTCCAACTCGCACGTGCTGGGTGAGAGGATGCAATGAATTTGGACCTTAAGTAGGTAGTGAGTGATCTTCAAGGCCAAGAAAGATCAAATGCAGCCGGACGATGACAATAAAAAAACAGTGATCGTGATGATGATGATGAGGATGATGATGATGATGATGATGATGATGAGGAGGAGGAGGAGGAGGAGGAGGAGGAGGAGGATGGGGATTATGGAGGCATGATGATGATGATGGGATGGGTCTAGAGCAAGGAGTGTCCGTCCATCCGTAAATCAGAGGGGCTTGGGGAGACATGAACCTACCAATGGACCCAGTAGGAACTTCTCCCTCTGGTCCTTTGGGGCTAGAAAGAAAGAAGGGAATTATGGTCCTTTGGGGCTAGAAAGAAGGGAATTATGGTCCTTTTGGGGCTAGAAAGAAGGGAATATCACAATTAATAATCCTTTTTTTTTTTTTTTTTGAACTTCCTAAGAGGATTGATATATTGCATAATAGAATTTTCACAAAGTTGTAGGTAGGACATAGGCATCTTCCTCAAATAAGTACACTACATATTAGGCCCTTGCACGGAGAAAGGAGATAGGAGAAGGCAACGGTAGTCCCTTGCAAAATGAAAGGGAACGGGGCCAACGGGGGAGGCACTGGACAAAGGGAAGGTAGTTGAAAATGGCAGTGAGAGAGGGAGAGAGAGACTGAACCCCCTGGGGTTGTGAAGTAAGTTATGTTAACTTATTTATCCATGTCGAATAGTTATTAAGGAGATGTTGAGTGAGAAGCGCGATGGAGATGTCACGTGAATTGTTAAGGAGATGAATGCATGCATGGCATTAGTGGACAATGGATAACTTTCTTTATTTCTAATTGTTTTTTTTTCCTTTTTTTATTTGGGGGAGGAGGGGGGGAGGAGGGGGGGGGGGGGAAGGAAGGGGGGGGGAGGAGGAACTTGATCATAAATCGGATTGGGGAACATTGTTAATAAGATTTTCAGTTGTTTTCCTTTTATTTTGTTTTTGATTGATAAATATATTTAGAAAAGGGGACAATGGGGGGAGGGGGGGGGGGGGGGGGGGGGGGGGGGTAAAGAGGGGAGGGGTAGTAGGCCTTGGGGAGTTTCATTCGATCTGATCTCCCATTCTTCCGTCCTTAGGCTAATGTTAAAGTTAGTTAAACGTCTATTGTCGCAGGGTTGTGGATTCCGTCTATTGTCGCAGAGTCGTCCATTTTATTAATCAGCCTTCGTTCCTTCATGATTATAGAGCTATGAGGAATTTTGTGTCTTTAGGATAGACAAAGGATGTAATGCCAGACGGTAGGATGTTGTTGACGGTGGAGAGATCGCTTTTAGCTTGATTGAAGTTGATTCACATCTCTGGAGTTTTTTTCATAGAAGAGGTGAAGGATGGCATTTCTATCTAGCAGACTAGCTGTTTAAATGAGCCTTTCACGGGCATGGAGTTTTGACGATGGCATTGTCATCGATCATTGCATTTTTATTGATGAATTGCATTGTTATCGATGGTTGCGTTTTTATTGATGATTGATTGCAATCATCACATGTACACCCTTATTGTCGTCTTAATGTGGTGACAGTTACGTTATCAACTTAATACAAACTTAGGTCCGTTTGTTAATGAGCCGATTGGGAAATTTGGGGATACTTTTTTTTTTTGTTTTTTTTTTTTTAATTTGGGGATACATTCTAGAAGTAGTAATATACTTTTTTTTTTTTTTTTTTTTTTTTTTTTTTAACAACCCAGTAGTAATATACTAATATGTATGCCCAAGTTGAACCAATGTCAAGTTACTCAAGTAGGGGGATTGAAGACTTCTTAAAATCCGAGAGACCCAATACTCTAGTACACTCTTCAAGTTGAGCTTAAAACAACTGGGCTCCTATTACAGACTTGGCGTCCTTGTGTTTGCCAATGTGCACTTGTTGAATCCTCTGTTGTGGCGAACGTAAGCATAGCTAGGAAATTCAGATGGTTTGGGTTGGCATGGAACTGCAACATCAGCAGATGATGAGGATGCGAGTGCGCATCATGAATGACGTTTTTTTTCTTCGTTAGCCGGTGCTTTCTCTACTGAACAAGAGACACACAACTTCAGTTGAGCGTAACTGATTTTGCTCTAGTATTTCTTTTGTCGTAGGGATCATGGTGAGGGTGAGAGAGTGTAGGATATAGACACTTCCATGCACAATGCAAAGAGAGATGGGAAGGATCTCTTTCAGATATTTGCACACGAAGGAAGATTCTGAAGTTTGTATGTTTCCTTGATTGTGGAAGCAAAAATGGGATTTTGATGAAAAATTTCCACAAACCGTATAATTGTGTTTGCACGGCAATTGTTTTCTCGGGACTCAGATGGCAGCAAATGCATACACTTGTGAAACATTGTGGTCAGTGGTGACCGTCATGTAGTCATAATACTTGTCGAATGTGGGTATTTTTCCTTTGTGGCTGTTCTTTGTCTTTTGGAGGTATGGCTTCGATTTTTGTTTTCGTGTTTTCAACTTGGACCGGATCTTTTGCTCTGATTCCCATGAGTTCAACACATTTCCTATTAAATACGAAAAAAAAAAAAAAAAGTGGTGGCATGTCATGATCGAGTGAACGAGGTCATGTAGTCATAATACTTGTCGAATGTGGGTATTTTTTCCTTTGTGGCTGTTCTTTATCTTTTGGAGGTATGGCTTCGATTTTCGTTTTCGTGTTTCAACTTGAACCCGATCTTTTGCTCTGATTCCTATGAGTTCAACACATTTCCTATTAAAAAATTAAAAAAATAAAAATAAAAATGGTGGCATTGCATGATCGAGTGAACGTTTTATTTGCTCAAATTCTTTGCCCGAATCATTCCCTGCCCAAAAAGTATTGTGCAATGTGCACAATATTTCTGTCAAATAAATTAATTTTACGATTAGTAAAGCTTTTGTTTCTTTATAAAATTTCTAACACATTCCTTATCATCAGTTAAGCCACCAGTACTTGCCACTTGGCCCATACATGGGCCACGGGCCCCTCACTGTGACTTTCAGAGGTGGTAAGCGTGATGTTGGCCATCGATGATATTTACTGATGGCCTATCAACCCCGAAAGTTGTGGCTTATATACGATAAGGGTCCGTGGCCGATATATGGGCCAAGTACTGGTCGTTTAAGAATTGCACTGTGCGGATTGTCCTTATGATCCCTTAGAGCGATTTTGAGCATTGCTCATAGCATTAGGTGCTTTTCCTTTTATTATCCCTTGGTGTTAAGTAGAAGACTCTATGAACCAAAACAAGGGAGCCTCACGCAGAGAGAGAGAACCACTAATGTTTCCTTTAACTTGTCACTACGATCATTGCATGCCGCAATATTGTTAACGTCGACGTTGTTGACGATTGCATTGAGTGAATATTCATGTGCTTGTGCGTTGAGCTATTTGAATTTTCTAGAGGACTTTTCTTTTTATATGAACTTCTTTGCTTGCATTGCCCGCATTAAATGCACCGCAATTTATATATATACATATATATATAGGGTCACCAGCCTGTACGTACGGAGGTCCCCAGACAGACCTCCGTACGTACGGGCGTTCGGGGTCCCGTACGGGGTCCGAACCCGACGGCATTCGGCCCCCGCCAAAAATTATTTCGGGGCCTAAAAATAATTGTGTTTTTCTGAATTTTTTTGTGAGTTTTCTATGACGTGAGGTACATGCCTGTAAATGTTCAAGTCGTTTGGCTAAGCCCAATAAGAATTAAAAATCGCCAAAGATGGCGGTGTCAAAACGTGCTCGACCACGTATTTTTTCACTTTTTACTTTTTGTTTTCACTTTAGTTCGGGTTTTGTATTATGTGAAGTACACATCTGTAAATTTTCAGGGCATTTAGCTACGCCAAAACAAAATGAAAAATCGCCAAAGATGGCGGTGTCGAAAACATCCTCGCGCACTCACTAACTTTAATTCTCTTTTTATTTTTATTTATTTTTATTATTAGTATTTGTTTTCCACATGGCAACTGGCCGGAAGTCTGGACCGGAATCCAGACGGTCCGGTTGTCTGGGTATGGGTCCGGTGTCTGGTCCGGTAGGTCTGGATTGGGCCCAATTTTGGAAAAATCGAATTTTTTTGGGGGGGGGCCTAGGACGTTTTTCGGGTCCTAGGGCGCCCCCAAAAAATGTCCCCGGTATTTTTTGGCCATTTCAGGGCCTATCGGACGCCGCCAGACGCTTCCAACAGCTCCCTCTGCTATTGTACTACACTGGTAGTTCATCGGATGAGGATGAGTCTGATTCCAAAAATGAAGTGCTGGCTGCAAAGCGCCAAAGAACATCAAGCTAGAGAGAGAGAGAGAGAGAGAGAGAGAAGATTTTGGTCAGATCTGAGATCCCGTCTTAGATCTGGTCAGGACCAGATCTCAGGTCTGTTCTTAGTACTTCTTATGCAGATCTTTTTATATTTTAAAAAACGCAGACCTGAATAACTTAACAGTCTGAATTTTCAATTTTCATATGAATATGAATTAGAAAGTCTTAACTTCAAAGTTCAAAGTTCTGTTTTTTTTCTGATTTTCGCACTCTTTTTCTGAAGTGACTTGGGATTGGTCTGTTGAGAACTGGTTTCACGTGTTGTGTGAGCCTTTGTGAATGTCTGTGACAGTATGAAGCTGTCAAGTTGTGAATACTGAAAGACAGTAAGCTGTGGTTAGTACTGAGTACTACTGCTTATTACTAAGTTTTTTTTTTTTCCCCCCTCGGTCCGGACATTTTTTGTGTCTGGTGTACCGGTCCGGACGGTCCGGGTCCGGTCCTGTCCGGTTGTCCGGTGCCTGTCCGGATTACCGGACGTCTGGACCAGTCCAGACAAATGTCTGGGCCTCGGTCCAGACATGTCCGGGTCCGGGTCCGCGGTTGCCATGGTTTTCCATATTTTATTTTTATTTCAAATTTGGTAAGGAATTCGGATGTAATGCTCAGGAAAATCTTGTTTAATATATTTTTCTCCATAACATATCTTTTTTTCAGATGTTTTTGATGACTTTTATTTTTGTTTTTATTTTTTTATTTTGTTTTGGGTCCGCGTTTGGCCCGAACGGCCGAACGCATCCCCAAGGGGTCCCATACGTTCGGGTGTTCGGCCCGTCCCGAACGCCGGTTACCCTGTATATATATATATATATATCGTCACAAACAGAACTGCCCGGTAAACCGTAGGCAGAGAGAGAGAAGAGGACAACAAACGAGGGGCTGTGACAAACTGTTTCGTCGGAGTTTCACCGACTCATATATTACAGTGTAATCAGTGAGGGGATTCTACAGACTGTTGAGGGTTCAGCCTCCTGATGAGTCGGTGAAACTCCGACGAAACAGTTTGTCACAGCCCCTCGTTTGTTGTCCTCTTCTCCCTCTCTGCCTACGGTTTACCGGCCAGTTCTATTTGACGATATATATATATTCTTTGACGCTTGATCATGACAATTCTTTATTTTTATTTCTTTCACAGCTCAGCTCCTTTTGTTCAATATGGCAATTTCTTTTTGACCTAGAACCTTTTCAATGATGCCATAAATTATGTGCCATAAATTATGTGCCACAACCCAAGAACAGCTACGAAAACCCTTTATCCAGGGAACCCCCTGTCAAACATAGAGCAATGGGTACCCAGACTCACACCCACCTCGACCCACTCGACCCAGAAGCCGCTGGGTCAAGTTTAGGTTTTCCTTGATGCAGACTTTTTTTGGGGGGGTGAGGGCATGAGCTAGTGAACAGTCGAAGTGACTAGACGTCAAATCGTGTCCGGGCTCGTGTCTCGCCTAGCGTGACACTAGGTAGTTAGAGCACTTGAAAAATCATAGCATTCCAGAGACAAGTGTGCGAAAAAATATATTCCAGAGACACTCAGTATCGTTCGCATACAGAACCAAGACTCACACATACTCATTATAGACATGACCACCCGTAGACAGATGGTAGCCATCAACAACGCGGGTCCCACTTCCGTTTTTTCGTTTGTGTGACATATTCTGTTCCAGCACCCTGTGATGACAACTTTCTTGGTTCTCCTTGCAGTGTACGACTCGAAATCTTGGAGGCCTTGGGAAACCATAGATCCCCCTTTTAGCAGAATTGGTCCATTTGCTGTCTTCGTCGTGCATGTCACAAGCGGGGGATACATTCGCATTCTCACTTCTCACCGTGACCCTAAGAACGGCTGCCTGGTTGCTGCTTCATCCGTTCTGACTAGTGTCAGCTCTTCATGGTAGCATTGCTGAAACCTTTTCATGATCTCCATCGCCTTCATTAGGCTGCCAGGTTCATTCGTAACCAATGAATATGGACACATCGTCCAGTGCCGCGCGACCGCGTCCACGGCCTGGTCTCTGTGTGTGTGTGTGTGTGTGTGTGCGTGTGTGTGTGTGTGTGTGTGTGTGTGTGTGTGTGTGTGTGTGTGTGTGTGTGAGAGAGAGAGAGAGAGGGAGAGAGTTTCTTCTTCTTCTTCTTCTTTATTTAATATTTTTCATCGTTTTTTTTTTCTTCTTTCTTTCTTCCTCGACGCTCCTCGTTTTACTTCCTTTTTCTT